ACATAAAATAAAAAATTTATATCTTTATGTTTGAAGCCTGAAATGTGGCAAAAGGTTGAAAAGTTCAAGGGGGCCGAATACTTTCGCAAGGCACTGTATAGTTATAATAAATTTAGGAGGCTCAGTAGAATTGTGTTTTCATTTTGACATTAAGGCGTGTTTCCTGTCAATCAATGGCAAAAACTCCTAGTGAAATACATTATGATTCCATATTGTAAAACAATGACATGTAAAAAAGTCCGGGGGGGGATACTTTTGATAGCCACTGTATTTCAGGAATCTACTGTAAATGGAAGTTAACAACTTAAGCTTGGAAGGGATAACAATGATACCTCAATCTTGCACAGGTGTACCTGCATTATGGAAATGAGCTATACATACAGTCTATCAGAAACAAACACCTTCCCTTTACATTCATCTCAAGCACCCTCTCCCACCTTGCGGCTACCCTTTGGTTCACTCAGTCTGAATGGGGTTTGAGGCTCCTCATCATATGATCAGAGGAATACCCATTAACCAAACCAGTTACCCCAAACCCATCTAATCTAATATTCCAAACAGGAAGAATAAAACATAAATGTAAACATTTTCAAAGCTTTCCTGTATAACAGTACAAGACAGGATGCAAACAAAGTTTTTTTATGACCGCAATACACAAAATACTTTTTTAAACCAGAAAAAAAACAACAAAAGAAAATCTCATTTGACGGGACTTGCCAAAGAAAAGATTTCAACTTCTTGAAAGAAAAGGCATATTACTGGTTCACACGTTTGAGGTTATTTGGAGGAAATTTCCTAAGAGAAACCCAATTCAGTTGTAAAATTCTCATCTGAAGCATACAGTAAACACAATATTTGTGTTTACTGTTTTTGAACAAATTTTTTTTTAATTTTGAAAACACAAACAAACGTACAGTATAAACATGGAAAAAAGTTGGCTAATAAAATGTGAAGAAAGCATCATGCTGCCACAGTTCGCATGCTATCAGATTTAATCTAACTGTGCTTCTAATTAGGGTTGCACTGTGAGACAGTTGTTATCATAACTACCTCACAGCACTGGGACCCTGATTCCAATTTCTGGGGTGCTGTCTGTGTGGAGTTTGTGTGTTCTCCTTGCATTAAAGTGGGTTTCCTCCAAATGCTCCACTTTCCTCCCATAGTCCAAAAACATACTGGTAGGTTAATTGGCTTCTTGGAAAAGTTGTGAGTGTTTATGTGTCTGCCTTCTGATGTACTGGAGTCCCATTCAGGACATACCCTGCCTTGCGCACGTTGCTTGCTGGGACAGGCTCCAGTTCCCCATAGTTGCTGAATTCAAAGAAGTGGTTAGAAAATTGATGGTTGTACTTGTACAACTTAGACAATGTACTTATATTAGCATAAGGATGATTTCTGTAAATGAGTGCAGACCAAACAAAATTAGGGATGTGGGTCTCCATCCCACTTTTTTTTGGGTTGTCGTTAGACCCACAAGTAAATACTACAGCGCTCCTCTACCCCCAAAGTTATGGACTGTGCCATTGCCCCATGACCTTGTGTGTAGCAGCTTCCCCCTACCCCACTATACCCTATAAAACGAGGGCCCTCATAAAACTCACTGTCTTTGCACAGCCTGGCAAGCTATGGGAAACTGTCCTCCCCCTTTCTCTCTACCTGCAGTCCCTCTGTCTCTTTACCTCTCCTGGTGAATAGCTGCAAACTTGCTTCCTGCCTATTTTCTGTCGTCGTCCTCTATCTGAAATGGGTTTGGGGTTGTTTTGCCACAATCTACCATGTCTGAAGATTGATAATAACTTCAAAATAATCTTCTTGGACACGTTGTTCATGGTGAATGGGTACAGTCATACCAGTCTATAGTAGACAGGTCACACACCATAAGGTTCTCATTACGGGGCTCTTCGGGCCCATCTGGACACAATTTTTATTTTCACTCTCACTTTATTCTTACCTACTAACCTTTTTTTTCATTCAACAGTCAGTCTGGCGTGTACTCAACCCTGTCAAGGTCTTTCTCTATCCCTGCAGTGGAGACAAACCAGAGAAGACAAGTTCTGGACAGGCCTCCTGTACCACTCTTCTTACACAGAGGCCAGGGTGCTTTCAACTGTACATCCTGTCCTATGATTCTACGCCAGGATAAGTAATAATCAGCCCCCCCCCCCTCCTTCCTACCTCAGGGATAGGATATTACAGCTCAGTCTCCTGCTCTCCAGACTCACATTTACACATTCACTTCAGAACACTTTCAATCAGACACACTTCAACCACTCTTTTCACATTTCTCTCACTTGGGTGTGAGCAGACAGGAGAGAAGACCTC